AAAATGTATAGTAAAATAAATAATAAGTAAATATGTGAATACATTTTGTATTCTGAAATAAATAATAATGCAAGGCTGGTAAATATACAACATCTATCAACACCTACCTTTGAGTTTATGAATTTATGCAAGTTGTGTTTCAAAAATAAAATAGTTAACATTTGAAAATTAAATAGGTCCGCGCGTAGCGCGGATTAATTCCTAGTATAATTTTATATCCTCGTAGTTTGAGAGTCTAAAGCCAATGTTTTATTACTGGAGCATTCTACATTGTGAGCAAGTAAACACCAGAATGAATCAGTGATACAAAGAAAGTAATGAGCTGTATTAATAGGGCCAATATTATGACCAAAAGGCCCATATACTACCTACACTTTTATAAGCCCATATAAATAAAACGGCGTGCAACTGATTTTAGAAACATTAAACGGCAAGTCGTCTCATTCATACTATTCGCAGTCACGTTTCAGTGAAACACAAACCGCACATCAATGGCGGCTGCCGTGGAAGAGAAGACGACAACAACGACGGCTAAGGAAGGCGCTAACCTATTGGGGAAGCCAAAGTACAAGAAACTCGAGAACGGGAGATTCAGATGCGTGCAAACTGGTCACGAGCTACTCGAGAAAGACGAGAAGGTTTATTCAGAGAGTAAACGGTGCCGTTTAGGGCTTATTGATCATGCCTTATCACACAACAAGCCACCACTTAACTTGTTCGAGCAAGATCCTAGCTCTTGGTAATTATTATTTTTTTTTTTTGAATTGAATGTTAAATTTATTAAATCAAAAAGACAATTGTTTACATCAAGAGCTATTGCTTACTGTTTTGTCTCTTTTTTTTTTCGATTTAAGGTTTAAGACACTGGTTATTGGCTTTGTTTTGTTTCAGTGCGAAACTGAAATGTAAGCTAACGGGTGATACGGTGAACAAGACTGAGGAACATATTTGGAAGCATATCAATGGACGACGCTTCCTCAACAAGTTAGGTTTGTGTGTTTTGAAGCTTTGTGAGAGTTTTTTTTAGGTTGGAAAATTTGTTAACGGTTTTGTTGTTGGTTATGTAACAGAGGAGAAGGAAAGGGAGATAGAGTCTGGATGTATTCAAACTGTGGTGAAGGAAAATGGGGTAAAGGAAGAAAAGAAGAAGAATAAAAAGAAGAAGAAGAAGAATAAGAAGAAAAACAAGAAGCTAGATGAGAAGGATGAGAATGGAGAGGATGTTGTTATGGATGAAGTCGAACGTGAGAATGATGAGGATGTTGAAGAGAAGGAGCTTGAATTTTGGATGCCACCAGATGGAGAGAGGTGGGACTTTGATGATGGAGGAGACCGGTGGGGATCATATTCGGAGGAGGAAGAAGAAAAGATTGGGGAAGAAGATTCAATAGGTTTGTTTTCCACTTGTGTATCCCATCACGTGTATTCATGTTTCAAATCTCAAGTTGTGAGTTTATTTTTCTTTTTGTTAACATGGGAAGTAGGTGAGATCGATGAAGATGGAAAGAGTAGCTTGGATGAGTCCATAATAGGTGAAGTTGATGAAGATGGCAAAAATAGTTTGAATGAGACTCTTGAAGGGACTCTTGAAAGGTACCATGGATTTTTATTCGCTTTTTTTAATGTGTAGTAGATAAAAATGAGTTTAGACACTGAACCTCTCAAATTTGTTGTTAATGTTGAAGTCAGACAAAAGAGTATAAGTTTTGTTTAAATCAGAAAACTAGTTGGCTTTGGGAGTTTTAGCTTAGATTAATGTATGCTTATAGACAACAAATGAACTACGTTGAAGCAAAGTCGGTGTAATGATACGTTTGTCTTTTTTAGCAGTAAAAAGAGGAAGCCTGAAGAACTCAATAGCCTTCCTTCCAAGAAGAAAAAGAAGAAGAAGGTCAAAACAACAGCTTTATAAATCTGATCTCTCTCTTATGCTCTTCCTTTTTTTTTTTTTTTTTCCATTTGCACTTAGTACTACCACTACTACGTATGTCACTCAACTTATGGGTTCAGTTTGATAGTATTTAATAGTTAGAGAAAACATGTTAATGATTCGTCTCTATTGTATGGTAATTTACTTGGGCCTGCCATTACATTCACGAAGCAAATTCTTTCCCCGTAAACAAATTTTAATTTCGGAGTAGAAAATCGAAAAAAGAACCTTAAGCATTTATCCTACAACAAATGCATACCATAACTACGTATGATTTTTTTGTGTAATTTACAGTTCCTCTTATCAAGTAGATAGGTAGCTTGCAAAATAAGTAAACCTTTTCACAACTCTGAAATGGCCGCCACGCTCCACAGTTTCTTTCTGGCTATCAAAACTCTCTCCTCTTTGGTCGTCGTCAGAGAGTCACTTTTTGGACTCGTCTCTGTGAACCATTTGTCCCATTTCAACAATGTCAGATACTTCTTGATGTAAGCAATATTCTCTGATGTGTCACGAATTATGACAAATCCTTCTGGGCGTAGTATCCTGTCCATCTCGATTAGCAGATCCTCAATGCTGCATCCACGTGCTTCAGTTTCTGTGAATGTGTTCCATGCGTGGATAAGGTCAAATGTTCGTGGGTATGTGTCGAAGGCTTCACACCTGCAAAGATCATCATCAAGCCATGAAGAAGAACACATGATCGGATTATGTGCTCAATGTTTAGAGGTAAAAGCGCATTAACATACCAATCATGAGTGGCTCCGATAAGGCCACGGTCGTAGATGATCTTCATTCTCGGTGAGGATTGAACTGGGATAACGTTCATTACCCATACATCTTTATCGTTTAGAGCAGCTGCAAAACCGCCGAGGTTTGAGCTCATGTCCATCACGTTTCTTATGGTGTTCTTTTGCACCATTGGTTTAAGCAGCTTCCAGTATTCCATCACTCTATGCCGCCATGTTTCCTGCACCCAACACACATAATTTATAGTGAACAATAAATAAGTGTTTGGACATACAGAGGCATTGCTGTTTTTCAAAACTAGATTACTGAAACAAAGCTTTTAATGTATGAAGAGGAATATTACCGTATCTTCACGAAACTGTTCGGGAGTGACACCGACTTCCTCAAGACGTGGTGGAGGAGCTGTCAGTCTCCGTGGCCAGGGAACAAGCCCACTCCATCTTTCTTTATGCATCCCTGGATAAAATAATAACAAATAGTATGTAACGGGTACCAAATAGTATCAAGTTGGGGTTAATATATATATACTTACTCACTGAGTACGGTGTTATGCAAGCTTTCATGGAAACGTTCCAAGTTGCATCTGGGTCCTCTCCAGAAGGACAAAGCGGAGGTTGGACACCTGGACCTCTCTTCAAGTAACAGCTGTTTGATATCGGTTTTCCCCATATAACAGACTGGTCTCGTTTGGCCACAACCCTCCAACACATTCTCCTAAAGAGATCATGCATCGCAGTCCCAATCTTTCTGTTTTCTGGGTCGTGTGCGTAAGCTTCAGGGGACGAGTATACAAAGTAACCGCCAGGTCTGAGCAACCTATCAAGTTCCAGCAACAAGATCCCATCTCTCTGAAGCCAATCTATCCGACATCTAGAGCAGTGAGCAAGTTCAAATGATCTGCTTGGGTATGGAAGCCGCTTAGTCCCAAGAACACCAAGTGTTGATGGGATCCCTCGTTCTAGAGCAAACTGGATCTGGTTCTGGTGGACATCATTAGGAGCAAGGGACATGGCTATGATGTCATGTGAGAGAAGATAAGCTCCAAAGCTAGCTACCCCACAACCAACATCGAGAACATTCCGAATGCTTCCTCCATTGTTGAGTTTGTCACCAGGGAATTTCAGCATCTAAAGCAATAAGCAGTTTTTTGGTCATCTGAAAGAACTTAAAACGGTAAAAAAAAAGGGCCAAAAACTCCTGATAATTGCAGAACTATGCTCCCTGGTATGTTTAATGAACTATGATCAACATACTATCCCACATAACTCTCAGTAAATATAAAGCAACTTAAGCTCAAAGCGTTAACATGATTCCTTTGCAAAAACAGACAAACCAATGCTCATGCTGTATACGCTTATACCATAAACTTTTGCTCACTGATGCGACTTTGTTAACAAAAATCAAGTGCCTTTGTGATTAAAAGAAGTACAAAATAATGCTATACTGTACCTGAGCAAGGGAAACAATGTATTTGTCAGCTCCGTAATGAAAATGCGTCCCTCCCCCGGGGAAATTGATCTTATCACCATTCACAACCATCCAATTCTGATCAGATTTCTCTTGCGCAAGGTGCGTATGCGGAATATTCGCCTTCCACACCCCGTCTCTACTAACAGGCCACTTCAACGGGATCTAAGAACATCATCATCATCAACCACTAAACACCAGAGCCATAACAATGCAATAATGCTAAGAGAGAAAAACAGAGAGTCAGACCTTATAACCAGCTGGAGGAGGAACAAGGCAATTGAACCGTCGTTCTGGAGGAGGGCAATGATGCTCATAGTGCTCCATCAACGTTAAATTGAGTCTCAGTTTCAGCTGGTGATGAAGATCTCTATCCAAACACGGTATAAGATCCGAGTGCTTCGAATCACATATCTGCCAAAAACATCTTGTTTAGTAAACCTAAACTCACTCAAAATCAACAACGATCACTCACTCACTCATCCACTAACAATTTCAACAGAGTAATTACTACAAGCACGACCTAATCTCCACAAAATCTCACTTAAACACTACGAACCTGGACATATTCCACTCAAATTTTCTATAGAAGATACAAATCAAGAACAAGAGAGCAATAAACCTAAACACTCAAAATCAACAACGATCACTCACTCACTCATCCACTAACAACTTCAACAGATAGTTACTACTACCAGAACGACCTAATCTACACAAAATCTCACTTAAACACTACGAATCTATACAAGATACGAATCGATGATTGGATACGAACCGGAATGCTTTTAGGAACTTCGACACGGCTCACTCCATCACGATCCCTCACGAATCCGGTTCGAGCGCGGTTAGATCCGTCGAACTCGTCGGACTTTCTGGATCCGGGAGCGAAGGAAGAGCCATAGTAGAGGCAAGTCAAGCCGAGTAGAGCGATGAAGCCGACGAGGACGTAGGTGAGGAGCCTCGGAGTCGCACGGACTCGCTCGCTCCTGGTGTGCTTCATTCTAGGGCGAGTTCCGGATCCGGATCTAGATCCGGTTGGATAGTGTGAATAGTGTGTGAGCGACAGTAGATTCCCGCGGAAGGTAGAGATGACCAGTGTTGGATTTTATGCGCAAGGGAATATTTGTGGTAGTTGTGATCCTCTGCGACTAGGACTACGATTATTTTAATTTCTTTTTCCCTTTAATTAAAAAGACGCGGTTAAAAAAGCATGGGCTTGTGTACCATTTGGGTTTTATATTTTTAAAGCTTTTTGTCGTCTATTGGGCTTTGTATTTTTTCTTTCCTTTTTCATCTTTAACTTTATAGAAGGTAACATGGATTAAGAGCATGATTAATAGAATGTTTTTACGGCGAAATATAACAATCTATCTTTTATTTAACTAAAAAAGATAACAACTGATTATTAAATGTATTATTTAAAAGCTGGTTCTTAACTTTTTACTAGTTTAAAATTAAAAGATGAATTTTATATTCCAATAAACCCCCGTCATAAGACCACCTCCAATGGGTGAACCTTGGAGGGGTTCATAAGTTTTTTAAAAAAAGAAAATTATTAAACAATGATGTCACATCGATGAATAGTTAAGAGTTTGGTTACAAAACTCTTTATTTAAGAGGCAACTCTTACACTGTTCACAGGCCCGACTGCCAAGTGTCGGCCCGCGAATGGTTCTTTTTTTTTTTTTTTTTTTAGTTCTAAAAAAAGATAATAAAAAATTGAAAAAAAAAACTTATGAACTTTTGGTAGAGTTTTAGGGATGGAGATGCTCTAAGAACCATGTTCTAACATTTAATTTATATTTTTATGAAATAATCAATAACATTATTTCTTGAAAATGTTAAATCATAACAAGATTGTCTATAATGAATTTTCTACTTTTAATTCCAGTGTATATAATTCAATAATTGTTTAATAGTGCGGTCCATGTACTTGATTATTAGTGTCGTCCATGTATAACTTGTTTACTCTTGGAAAGAACGGTCCAAGAAAGAAAAAAAAGAGTTGCTGGTTCACGGGTATGAAGTTTCGTATAAACTGAAGCAAGTCCATACATATTTTCACGTGTCATGTATGCTCTGGAAAGGAAACAAAGGTATTATACTTTAATCAGGACAACTTGATTGATAGTGGCATTGCGCTGATTTAAAAACATTTACAGAATCTCACGACCAAGACGAATGGAGAGAATAATTCAAAGGTCTAAAAGTTTCAAATCCACTATATATTATAAGATAATCATCACAACCTTCTATCTATGACACTTATCATCAATTGAATGTTTTTCAATTTTTTTTATTTTAAATATTGATTTATATAAACATATAATATACTTTTATTAAATAGTTATAAACCATTATTAAAGTCTTGTATTCATTCATTAAATAAAAACTACGAAATTACCTAAGATGATCATTTTTGTTAAATTTATAATTGGTTGATTTTGATGTTATTTTAAGAAAACGACAAAACATTTTAAAATGAATTGCTAAACAGTTTCAACACTATAATTTCACTGATGAATCTGTAAATAAGTATATTAACAAGGAATACAAGTTTTGAATATTTCCAAAATTCATAGGGGATTAACCTACGATCTCAAAAATTATGTAGATTTTGACGTTATCTTTATGAAACGACAAAACAATTTAAAAACAATTGTTAAGCAGTTCCAGCACTATAATTTGTTAACGAGTCTTTAAATAAGTATACTAGCAATGTATACATGTTTTCAAATTTTCAAAAATTCCTAGGAGTTTGCCCACTGTCTCAAAAATTTTGGTGGATTTTGAGTTATCTCTAGAAGACGGCGAAACATTTTCAAAACGATGTTAAACAATTTTAGGACTATAAATTGGTTAATGCGTCTTTAAATAAATATACTAGCAAGAAATACATGTTTTAAAAGTTGGTGGATTTTGATGTTATCTTCAAAAAACGAGGAAACATTTTTAAAATGATTGTTAAGCAGTTTTAACACTATAATTTAGTTAATGTGTCTTTAAATATGTATACTAGCAAGAAATACATGTTTTGAAATTTTGAAAAATTCATAGGGATTAGCTCATGACCTCAAAAATTTTGGTGGATTTTAAAGTTATCTTCAGAAGACGACAAAATATTTTCAAAACGAATGTTAAACGGTTTCAACATTATAATTTGGTTAATATGTCTGTAAATAAGTATACTATTAAGGAATACATGTTTCAAAATTTTCAAAAGGTCAAAGGGGTTGTTAAATCACTACCTCGAAAAAATTGGTTGATGTTGACGTTATCCTCTGGAAACAACAAAACATTTTAAAAATGATTGTTAAGTAGTTTTAACACTATAATTTAAGTAATGGGTCTTCAAGTAAGTATACTAGCAAGAAAATACATGTTTTGAAATTTTCAAAAATTCATAGGGATTTTGGCGAATTTTAACTTTATCTTGAGAGGACAACGAAACACTTTTGAAATGAATGTTAAACGGTTTCAATACTATAATTTGATTAATGGTTCTGTAAATAAGTATACTAGCAAGGAATACATGTTTTGAAATATTCAAAAATTCAAAGAAGTTATCCCACGACCCTAAAAAATTGGTTGATGTTGACGTTATCCTCTCGAGACACGGCGAAATATTTTGAAAACGATTGTTAAGCAGTTTCAACATTATAATTTGGTGATTGGATCTTTAAATAATTATATTATGAAGGAATATTTTTAAATTTTTAAACATTCATAGGGGTTAGCCCACAACCTCAAAAATTGGGTGGATTTTGATGTTATTATCAACAGACGACGAATCATTTTCAAAATAAGTGTTAAATAGTTTCAACACTATAACTTTGTTAATGAGTCTTTAAATAACTATATAACAAAGTTATAGTGTTGAAACTATTTAACACTTATTTTTAAAATGATTGTTAAGCAGTTTCAACATTATAATTTGGTGATTGGATCTTTAAATAATTATATTATGAAGGAATATTTTTAAATTTTTAAACATTCGTAGGGGTTAGCCCACAACCTCAAAAATTGGGTGGATTTTGATGTTATTATCAACAGACGACGAATCATTTTCAAAATAAGTGTTAAATAGTTTCAACACTATAACTTTGTTAATGAGTCTTTAAATAACTATATACTAGCAAGGAATACATGTTTTGTAATTTTCAAAATTCAAAGTGGTTAGCCTTCGACCTCAGAAATTTTGGTGGATTTTAACATTAATATTTTCGAAACTAATGTTAAATGGTTTCAACAGTATAATTTGGTTAATATGTCTGTAAATAAGTATAAAAATAAATACATGTTTTGAAATTTTGAAAACTTCAAAGGGTTTAGTCCACGACCTCTAATAAATTGGTTGATTTTGATGTTCTCCTCTGGAGGCAACGAAACATTTTCAAAATGATTGTTAAGTAGTTTTGACACTATAATTTGTTTTAAATCTTTAAATAAGCATACTATTAAGGAATATATCTTTTTGAAATCTCTAAAATTCAAAGGGGGTTAGCCCAAGATTGTTAAACAATCACTAAATTTGGTTAATGGTTCTTTAAATAAATATAATAGCAAGGAATACTTGTTTTGAAACTTTTAAAAATTCATAGGGGCCTACAACCTCGAAAATTTATGTGGATTTTGACGTTATTTTCAAGAGACGCCGAAACATTTTAAAAAAGATTGTTAAGCCTTTTCAAAATTATAACTTAGTTAATGGATCTTTAAATAAGTATACTAGCAATGAATACATGTTTTTAAAATTTCAAAAATTCCTAAGAGCGCACGGCCTCAAAAATTTTGGTGGATTTTGAGTTATCTCGAGAAGACGGCGAAATATTTTCAAAACGATTGTTAAACGGTTTCAACACTGTAATTTCGTTAATGGGTCTGTAAATAAGTATATTAGCAAATAATATATGTTTCGAAAATTTCAAAAATTCAAAGGCACGACCTCAAAAAATTTAGTGGATTTTGACGTTATCCACTGGAGACGATGAAACATTTTCAAAATGATTGTTAAGTAGTTCCAACAGTGTAATTTGGTTGATGGATCTTTAAACAAGTATAGTAGTAAAGAATACAAACTTTTAATTTATCAAAAATTCATAGTGAGTTAACCTATGACCTCAAAAATTTAGTGGATTTTGACATCATCTTCAAGAGATGATGAATCATTTTCAGAAGATTGTTAAACAGTCTCAACAAGGCATACGAGTTTTGAAATTTTTAAAAAATAATAGGGGTTATAGCCTACAACCTCGAAAAATTATGTGTATTTTAACGTTATCCTCAGGAGATTGTTAAGCAGTTTTAACACTATAATTTGGTTAATGAGTTTTTAAATAAGTATACTAGCAATGGATACATGTATCGATTTTTTTTTCAAAAATTAATAGGGGTTAGCCTACGGTCTCAAAAGTTTTGGTGGATTTTGACATTATTTTCAGAAGACGACCAAACATTTTTTAAACGATTGTAAAATGGTTTCAACACTATAATTTCATTAATGGGTCTGTAAATAAGTATATTAGCAAGAAATACTGGTTTTGAGATTTTCAAAAATTCAAAAGGGTCGGAAAAATGGTGGACTTTGACGTTATCCTCTCGAGACGACGAAACATTTTCAAAACGATTGTTAATCATTTTCAACACTAAATAGTTTGGTTAATGGTCTTTAAATAAGTATTCTACTAATGAATATAATTTTTCAATTTTTCAAAAAATCCTAGGGATTAGCTCACGATTACAAAATTTGGTGGATTTGAAGTTATCTTCGGATGGTGACAAAACATTTTCAGAACGATCGTTAAACAATTTGAACACTATAATTTGGTTAATAAATCTTTAAAGAAGTATAATATCAAAGAATACGAATTTTGAAATTTCCAAAAATTCATAGGAAATCTCGAAAAACAGTTCCAACACTGTAATATATATATATATATATATATATATTTTATAATATGTAAAAAGATACTATATAAATAATGCTCTTTCTGTTTCTAAACAAGTGTCATTCTGCCAATTTTTTATTTTAGAATAAATCTCACTTTACATTTTCAATGTAATCCTTTTAATCAACCAATAGATGTTTTTAAA